GTTGGTTGTCATCAATTACCAAAAGGGGGAGATTGAAAGTGCATTTGCCCCCTATGTGGGTTTTGGTGTATTGATGACATTCAAATTAGGGACTAATGTGATCTTAATGAGATATGTTGCAGCTATTAGTCCCATGAAAGATTTAAAGAGTTGATAAAGATGAAATGGTATCCCTCAATTCTTGAAGTTGTAAAGGCGGACGAATTCAAAACGATCTCCAAAGGTTTTAAATTTTGTCTTTGAGTTTAGGATCCGCCGCACTATAAAGAGGGATGCAAGTTTAGTTGGTCTGAGGAAGATAGAGTGCTCAAGCATTTAAATAAAATCAATCGTGTGTCACTCTAGCACTTCACGAGCACATAGAATATTTTTTCTGTGACTTTCGGTGTCGGAAGTCCCGACGTAAGTCGGAACTCCCGACAGTCGGAAGTCCCGACCTTTGCCAGGAGTCCCGGCACTGCTTGCTTCCGATCGCTCATTGCGTGCAGCGTCGGAAGTCCCGACGTTACGGGAGTTTCGTCCATCGGAAGTCCCGCGTTCACCGGAGTTCCGACATCGACTGACCCGAGCCGGAGTCCCGCCTCGGCGATCTTGGGTGTTTGATTAATCGCTTTCGTCGGAAGTCCCGACGATCGTCGGAGTTCCGACCGTCGGAAGTCCGATGTTTGCCGGGAGTTCCGACAACGACTTTCTCCGTGGACTTGACTCGTTATGAACAGTGTTTTCGTTGTAGTGGGAACTTCCGGATCTGCGTCGGGACTTCCGGCGTGAGATCCGAACGGTTGATTTTCACTTGGAGTATAAATACTCCTCTCTTCTCTTCTAACCGTTACTGGACTCATTTTCACAGCTTGACTCTCTTCGTCTTTGAAACGGCTCCCAAGCAACCAAAGCACCCTCTCCTTCCCCTTTGCTCCAATCTTCAATTCCCTTAGGGTTTGATTGAAAGGAGAGTGGATTAAGTGAGAGCATCACTTTGGAAAGTTTGAGCACTTGATTTCTTCGTCAAGCCGGTTGATTTTGCGTCTATTACTCTTGGGGTTTTACCCCTAGCCGGCTAGGCGTCGCCCAAGAGCTTCCATCTTGTGGAAGATCCTCGGGAAGTTTGTATTACCTCTCGATTTCTTAGTGGAAAGCTCAAGTGACCTTTGTGGTCGCTTAGAGAGAGGCAAGGAGGTGGAAAAGACTCCGACCTTTGTGGTCACCTCAACAACGAGGACGTAGGAGCTCCTTAGTGGGGTTCCGAACCTCGGGATAAATCTTTGTGTCCCGTGTGCTTGTTGTTGTGATTGCTAGATATTACTTGTATGTGTTTGTCTCTCTCTCTCCCAAATTTCCATTTTAGGGTTTGGACTCGATCTACGGTTTGGAGGCATTACGGCGTCAAGAGAGTGACCCAACATCTTCACCAAACCACTAGGAAGAAAGGTTGTAAGTTCATTTATCCGCAAAGTTAAATTTGGCCTTTGCTTTTGTAGTTCACGAGGCGCGTCGGAACTACGGCGTTTGCATGCGGAACTTCGACAACGTCGGGAGTTCCGACCAAACGCGGGACTTCCGACGATGGATCGATGTAATTGAACTTAGCCTTTGCATAGAAATTTTAGATACGCCTATTCACCCCCCTCTAGGCATTGTTAGATCCTTTCAGAAAGAGAACTTGACGAAGCCGGCAATTCTGCGGCTGTACACACTGACATATGGTCCCTGGGATGAGATGAAGGACAACCTTCCGATCGCACTTGAAGGGCTAGGATGATACAAAAGTTACGCTGTCACTGAATCTGGTGGGGGCTGGGGGCGCGCATTAGGCTGTCGGGGTCACGCGTGGGGGTCGGGCAGCAGGGAGACTAAGGCCTTGTTTAGATTGCAAATTTTTATAATCTGGACACTGTAGCACGTTTCGTTTGTATTTGACAAACTTTGTCCGATCATGGACTAACTAGGCTCAAAAGATTTGTCTCGTGATTTACAACCAAACTATGCAATTAGTTACTTTTTTTACCTACATTTAATGCTCCATGCATGCGTTCAAAAATTGATGTGATAGAGAGAGAGTGAAAAAACTTGGAACTTTGATGTAATCTAAACAAGACCTAATTAGCGAACGTTCGTTAGAATCGAATCAGGCAAATAAAATTCCGACACACTGCTACTTCCTTTTTTGGAAAAAAATAATTTCACCCCTTCCATATATTTGGTTGGTGCTAGCGCGTGTGGACACGCTGGTCTCAACCACGGTACAGATTCTCTTTTGGCTGGCGTGACACCTGACCTAACCAAGAAAAAGTGAGACATTTATTTAAAATTGCTATAACAGCGGTGTATCTATTTTTAATTCCGTATACATCGGTGTGTTCTACATTACGAGACGAATAAAACTAGACCCCACTTGCATATGTTTTGGAAAATTTTATTCTAGTAACAATTTATATGTTCTAACTTATACATAAAAGTTATGAAGCACAACTTATGTACAAAAGTTAGTAAACACAAAAGAACAAATTAACCTATAATTTATGCCAAAAACTTGGAAACACAAAAATTATTAAACACAAAGGAATGCATTAACTTATAACTTAAGCTAAAACTTAGAAACAAAAAAGTTATGAAAACACAATTTATGTACAAAAGTTATGAAACACAACTTATATTCATAAGTTATTCTACAATTTATGTACGTAAGTTATTTTATACAACTTGCCAACGCTGCCCAACAAAAATTATGATAAAAAACTCGTGTTAATAAGTTATGCTCTGCAAAATATTATATTGTAAAAGTTGTGATATATAAGTTGTGGTAATAATTTATGCATAAAAGTTATGTGTATAACTTAGTAATTTTCAAAAAAAAGGAAAATTACATGTATAACTTACTTATATAACTTAGATATATAACTTAACGATTAACTTAGATGTAAAGTTGGACGTATAAGTTATATTCGAGAACTTAGACGTACAAATTAATATTATAATATATTAGCAGAAATATCAAACCTTGTACAAAATAACTTGCATAAAAAAAATAAATAGGTAAAAGAAAAAAGAAAAATAAAAAGAAAGAAAGATTGATGCACCTACAGTTAGTAGTAGTCTAAAGAGACACGCGTACATGCATGCATGGTGGTTACCGTTTCTTTTGTTTACGATCAATCCACGCTATGCAATGCAGCCACAGTAGCACGGCGTACGGTGAAGACGTGGGGCTGGTTCGGTTGGATGTTCGCTGGAACAGAAACTGGTGAATGGCCGCGGGAATGGAACTGGGGTCGCCCGCTGACGTTCCGCGCGACGGGTCGCGCAATATCCCGTGTCCATATGTCAACCGTGCCAGTCCATCCAAACCTCCTGCGCCGGCCGCTCCCACCCACTCCCACGCAACGCAGCGCCGCCACACCGAACCGGGCGCGCCACACCGAACGAGGCGAGCTCGCCAGTACCGCCTCGCCGTCGACGCCCCGCGGCGCTCAGCCCCGCCCCGACTCGCCATCGACGCCCCGCAGCGCCCACCGCCTAGCCCCGCCCTGCGCTGCTCCGGCTGCTGTCGACGTTTGCGCTCCGGGCTCGCCATCCCGGTTCGCTCCATTCGCTTCCTTTCTCTTTTGTGGTTGTTTTAGCATTTAGAAGCCGCGATGGGGGGGCCACTCGAGCGACACCTCGGGCTGTAATTTGCCCTTATTTGCGTCATTTGGTCTTTTTGCCTTTTGTTTTTCCTTTAACTCCGTTAGAATAGACAATTTGAATTCTATCTAGATGATACCCCGCGCGTTGCTCAGGTAATTTTATAGTGCTATTAAGAAGAATGGTTCATGGATTGAGAAATAGCAAAAGCACAATACGCACACATGTTAATTTGAATCTTTGTGGGGACAAACTGAATTTTATTATACAAAAAGTCAGGAAAAATAGTGTAGATTTCAGGGTTGTATGAAGCTTGTGTATGGTAAAGTAGTTCACTGGCAAATCTGTTTTCCACTTAACTAAACAATAGTAGTTCGCGCAACTGATGGATGGATGTTATGTATATACCTAAGCAAGCTCTTAATTTGCAATTGCAACAGACACTACTAGTATGAAATATAAATAATGAAATATAATGCATATACGTATCTAACATGAGCCGGTCTTTCTATAATTGCATTGGTATAAAAAATAGTCTTTGTGTCCTCATCAATCAGTGCTCCTCCAAGCGTTGATTATGTGAAGGAGACAACTTGTCAATTGTTTACTGTTCAAAACTGATAGTGAGCGAAAACAAAAAAGTAATACCATGATGCACAATAGTTTAATCACTTGCTATATGGTAAACTAAACTGAAAAGGGGAATTTGAATAACTGAAGAAAGATGTAAGAACTATTGGAAACTCTGCTCACTATCAGATGGAGGTTGTTTTTTTTATGAAACTGAATAATGATTCCATGAGTGAATAATTGAAGAAACAGGTAAAAGGTATTAGAGACTCACCTAGTCGGTCAGAAGTTGATCACTACCAGTTGGAGGTTGTTAAATATATTTGCACAAAGCTGAATAATGATTTCATGAGAACCTACAGATGCCATTGGTAAGGATGTGATATCTTGATGTTCAGGGATAAAATTCTTGTGAATATCTCCCAGAAATGATGTTCAGAGATAAAATTCTTGTGAGAATCTCCCAGAAATCCTAAGAATCATTGTGATCCCGTATGAATTGACCCAGACCAAAAATCTGGAATCTGTCTCCATGGTGATCTCAACCAAGATTTTACACATGCCATGATCCGATGCACGTTGATGAATGACAGAGTTTCCAAAAGTGACAACAGGGAAGGAAAAGAACAAATAAAGAATCAAGAGATCCGCTTACCTGATGATCATGTTCGGCGCTCAGCTGCAGACTGTTCCTGCTCAGAGTTGAACCCCAACATTGCAGCTGTGCACGGCGGGCAGCGCGCAGGTCATGGTCGCTGGCTACGCCAAGCTGGCCACCAAGGTCGTCGATATATATAAGATGTGGCAAGATGGGGAGATTGTGTCGAGCAGCAAGATGTATGATCCTTCGTATGCCCACGTACAGGCACACACTGCATCAAATTAAATCCTTGCTTGGTGGAAAGAACCGAAGAGATGAAACAACGGTGGAGAAAATAAAGTCCCTTTTGATTCCCTTGAAAGGACAGAAGATTAATGAGGATAGAGAGAACTGAAGAGATGACACATGGTGGAGAAATGAAGTGGCACCTACTGTTGAGAAAAGTTAACTTGTGGTTGTAGGGCCCTAGATGACGTGGCTTCACAAAATCGCAGGAAAATCCTCTAGTGGGTTCCTCCTATTTAGGTATAGTAGATACAGCTTTGGATCGTGAACTGCGATCAAGTGTGTTACTTTTTTTTTGTACAGTACTGATAGGTGATAGCCAATATCATTGCTGTTTCTTAGCTTGACAGGATCGCGCCTGATCCTTGTTATGCTTGTAACACAAAGTCCAACCCCTAAGTTTGCCTGTGAACTGAAGTTACATCCACAGCTGTGGATCTAGGGTGTTTCTTTTATTGCATGATTTGGGATTTTTAGTTTGTTTTTCGTAGAATGTGCATGACTCAATGTCCACTGGTCTCTTTGTTTCTGTTATGATGTGAGCTAAACAAGGTGATAACTATAAAATGTTACCTTGCAGTGTACACATTTGGGCCTGGTTTGTGTCCAATAAAGAGCGAGCTCCAATCCTTGAGATGTGTAACGAAATGGACCTGAGATCAGCTCAGTTGGTTAGTGCCTCAAGTTGTGAGGCCTCCCCACCAGGGTTCAAATCCTGGTGTGCACAAATTTGTGGAAATTAAAAAAAAAATCTCCTCGTTGGCAGCCTGAAATATAGTTTCGACGACTTGGGTGCTCGGTACAAGCCCAAGTATCTGCGCGGCCCTATAAGGTGATGCCGGGTTTGGGTGTTTTTCTAGACCGGAGAAGGTTGAGCTTCTCTATCAAAAGAAAGCCGTAGGGGCGGTCTTACCCCCACCGGTCGAGTTTTTTTTAGAACACATTATGCAGACTTGTCACAGTAAAAAAGTTTATAACGAATCTATCACTGTGCTTGGTGCATCTTTCTACTGTGTCATCATGGTGATATCTTTGCAGTACTTACTATGCGTAATAGTTGTTGTGAATTTTACTTGTCAACTACAGGTCTTAAGCTCCAACATCTTTCTATTCACACACAAGAACAGGAAAAGAGACGAAAACAGGAAAAGAGACCTGATACAGAAGAGGGCCCCAGCCACTTTGGATTTTCTGAAGATGCGAGACATGTTTTGCAGGAGTTATTTGCTCATTATCCTCCTGATGATGCCGAATTAAATGGTGATGCCTTCAGGAATTCTAATAATAAGGGTGCAAACTTTAGACGCAAAGATAGTGCATTCTGCAAACCAACAATGCGCAAACCTGACATAGCAAAGAAGGTTGAGATGTTTACTGCTAAAATGAATGGATCCCCACAATTGATGAAGGTTGTATATTCTGGCTATAATCTTATCTTCCTTTTCTTTGCGTGACTCCCAATAGTTAATTGAGATTGAGGCATATGAGGTTAACTTGTAAAATGATAGCTGAAGTATTTACTTATATATGTTATATACAGGTTGTCGAGAACAGAATAACAGATCCAAACTTTCTATTTCATCCTTCAAGGATGTCATATCTTCAACTTTGGAAAATCACCAGGTTTTGTTTTTGTCCCGAATTTTTGTTAACAGATCCAAACTTTCTATTTCATCCTTCAAGGATGTCATATCTTCAACTTTGGAAAATCACCAGGTTTTGTTTTTGTCCCGAATTTTGTTACATTTCAATGCAATATTCTAAAAAGGGTAAGGTAATCGAGTTGAGAAATAGAGAAATATAGTTGTATCCTAGCTTCAGAATATGTTACATGCACTAAGGTGGGTGCTGAATTTTTCTTTTTCTCCTTATTGCAGGTAAAGCCAACAAGAAGATAATCTAGACATTCAATTCGTTTGATGCTGGGCTATTGATTAAATACTAGGTCCGAAGACTTTTTTTTTTTTGGGGGGGGGGGCGGTTTGCAAACATTCATTGCTTCCTGATTGTTCATGTGTTTTCCTACATGCTGTATACACTACCCAGCTCGCATGATGTCACCGCCATCTGATGGGTGATGGCAACTTGATCCTTCTTTTTTTCCTTGCCAGGTAGTTCTTATTTCTGGAGAAACAGGCTGCGGCAAAACCACCCAGGTGCCAAGTCTTTCAACACCATTTATGTAGTTTCAACCATTGAATTTGTCACTTTTCATTCCTGCGTTACATTCCAGGTGAATGTTCTTGTATTATTTGCCTACTATCTTCTGCCTGTTAATTATGCTTGGTTTATTGCACGAAAGCTGTTGATTTTCTTGTAATTATATCAGCAAAACGCACTTTGTGTGCTTGTGTCCATTTCTAAGAATCTTGTCAAGAAAGCACTTGACTTATGGTTTTTTTTAACCAATAAACAGCCATTAGGTCCTTATATAACCTACTGTCAGAGGCATGTTCAAACAGACTGCTTCCAGAATAAAATGATGCACATTTGTTGGTGTATGGTAGCCTATGGAGTTGCGTAGATACTATTTTGTGGGGAGTTGATATTTTTGCTATCTCACTATCTGGCCATGTTCTGATGTATGTTCCTCAATACATCTTAGATCATATGTGGGGGAAAGGTGAATCATGTAAAATCATATGCACTCAACCATGTCGAATATCAGCTATTTCAGGTATGATTGGCTCACACTTCATTAAGTATTGCTTTTCAGTTTGTATTCTTCTATTTATGCTCTGTTCTATGTGTCATCCAGTTGCTGAGCGAATCTCCGCTGAAAGAGGACAGCCTGTTGGTGACACAGTTGGATATAAGGTATTAACAGGCTGCTGTGCTACAATTTTCAATGATGTATTTCTGGACTCAGTAAATTTGGGGCCAGTTTTGTGGTCGTGTTTTGAATTCAGGAAGTAATTTGGGACTCTCCTTTCAGTGTCCACTTTTCCATCGAATCAAGAGAAGATAGTGAGCTAAAACCAAGAGAAGATAGTGAGCTGCTTAATAACTTGGCAGCTAAGAATCCCGAGCACATTCAGCCTGTGCTAATAGAGCGTTTGCATGGAAAAATTTGTGCGGATACCAGTGAAGGAGCTATCTTGGTATTTCTTCCTGGTTGGGAAGATATAATTCGATTAAGGGAAAGGTTACTTGCTTCTCCTTTTTTCCAGGACAGTCAAAATTTCTTGTGATGTCACTTCATTCCATGGTCCGTCTTTGGAGCACAAAAACGTTTTTAAATGTCCACCAGCAGGGGTTCGTAAAATTATTCTCTCAACCAATATTGCGGAGGCTTCTGTGACGATTGATGATGTTGTCTTTGTCATAGATAGTGGGAGAATGAAAGAGAAAAGCTATGATCCACACAATAATGTGTCAATACTTCAGTCTTCCTGGATTTAGAAAGAGAGTGCAAAGCAACGTGAAGGGCGTGCTGGTCATTGTCAGCCAGGGACTTGTTATCATCTTTACTCAAGGTTTAGAGCAGCATCATTGCCAGATTACCAAATTCCTGAAATGAAGAGAATGCCCGTCAAGGAACTTTGTTTGCAGGTACAATGCTACCTCATATTTATGTTGTCCCAAATCTAGTGCAAATAATATCATGAAATGTTTCACTAAGCCACAAGAATAATGTTTGGTTTACAGAATTAGGAGAAAAGATGGGTTCCCGTCCCCTCCATCTATCAGCAACCAAGATGCTTTTGTTTGCTGTAGTGATGAATTTCCTGGATCCAGCATTGACATTGGCATGTGTCGCAGGTTATAGAGATCCATTCCTTGTTCCAATAGAGCCAGATAAGAGAAAAGGAGTTGCCACAGCCAAAGTTGAACTTGCCTCAGTGTATGGTGGGTTCAGTGATCAGCTTGCTGTTGTGGTGGCATTTGACTGTTGGAGACGTGGGCCTAGAATCTGAGTTTTGTACAAAGTATTTTGTCTCGTCGGGCATCATGAATATGCTATCAAAAATGAGGGAACGACTAAAGAATGAACTGTTGGAAAGAGGGTTTGTTCCAGCAGATACATCTGCTTGCAGGTTGAACTCTAAAGATACAGGTAGTTGAGTTTCTATGCAAATTCAAGTTCTGAATGATTCTGATTTTCCTTTTTGCTATGTTAACACTAGGCAGGCAGTTATTTGTACAAATTTGAGTTCTTTTATTTTAGGACATCATGCTTCTAAGCGTGCATCAAAATGTCAGGAATATTCCCATGTGTAGTTTATCATGTACCTTATACGTCAGGGAATTTATGATTTATATGCTTGTTGTCCTTAACATTATTGAATAAGAGTGGCACAGTTAGCACTGGGTTAGTATGCACATATGATCTCATGTTTCTTCTGTTCTCAAAGTTGCGTATTCTAACTTAAAAGTAATTTAACATCCCAATGAAAACTTTGATGCATTTGCTTATTTTCTTTCCTTATTTCTGTTGCCTTTCCTCATTTTCACCTCAAGAATAAAGCATTCTGTAACTTTTTTTTTTGTTACGAAACTATGTTTTAATGTATTTTCAGATTTATTCGCGCTAAAATTGATTATTGCTGCTATCCAATTCGAACTATCTATGGAGTATTAGGTGTCAAAATTTGGATATTCGTAGAAGAAGAATAACTAACCATGTCTTCCCATTCCGCCCAGTGATAGAATAAAAAAGACAAGAACCTTGTTTTTCCAAAAATCCCTAAAAAAAAGAAGAAAGTATCCCTCTTTCTATAAGATTTAATGAAAAATAATAAATCTTTTAATATAATTGCTATGCTTAGTGTGTGACTCGTTAGTTTTTTCTTTAGGGTCAAAAATTTAAAAAAAAATTGTCTGAACCCTACTAAAAATAGAAAAAAAACTTAGTAATGATAGAAAATTAACTAATAACCAACCTATTGCTTCGTATTGTCGAGATCCTAACTATTTGAAATGTTCCACTGCACTTAAGTAACTTGCAACTCTGTAGGTATCATTCGTGCTGTTCTTATGGCTGGTGATTACCCAATGGTAGCAAGATTGCTCAAGATGCTAAAAAACAACCTTGGAAACAGCGAGTGGGCTCAAAGTTCGCCTACATCTATCATTTAGCAAACCTTCTGGGAATCCACTAGTGATATATGATGAGATTACTCAAGGCAACAGTGGAAACTATATTAGAAACTGTTCAGTTGTTGGGTCTTATCCTTTGCTTGTGCTTGCCACAGAAATGGTTGTTGCTCCACCTGATGATAGTGATGGAGAGAAAGATTACAGTGAGGGTGAAGCTGAGAAAAACTCTTTGGTACAGCATAAAAAAGAGATTATGTCTTCTCCTGATAACACTGTTATAGTTGTTGATCGGTAGCTCTGATTTGAAGCTATGGCTCTAGATGTTGCTCAGATATACTGCTTAAGAGAACGTCTAGCATCTGCTATTCTTTTTAAAGTGAGATCATCCTGCCTTGGATATATCCTTTTCTTTGCTTGCTTTCTGTTTTGTGTTCTATATTATCAAATATGTCAAGCTTTGTGTCAGCCACATTAGGAAACTTATCATAAAACTCACTCTGCATTGTTTTCCAACAGGTCCACATAGTATTTTATAGTAACTTGTTGGTTTTAACTAGCGTAGAAAATTAGGGAAGTACACAAAAGAAAGATACACTGATAACTGATAATTCTTTGATATGTCTTTTTTTTCTATTTTTATGGTCCATGCTGATTTTGTGGTCAACATTTGTCTCTTATGCACCTTTCGTGATCCCTTTTAAACTGCTTGAGTTTCGTTATTTTCATGTTTTTCTGATAATATATGTTTTCTACAGGTGAAAAATCCACGAGATGTCCTCCCATCTTCGCTTGCATCCTTTCATATGATGGCTTGCCTGCTATGGTCTCATCTAATGATCTTTCATTGAACCAAGGTTCGAACCAGAATTCAGAGGAAGTAAGCAGATTATCCCAGGGAAGGGTAGTTGGTTATATCCCACCTGATGATTTCTTCATGCGTTTGTTAGCGGATAAGCCGCACAGTGCAAGTTCTTTTCAGAAGACAACAGGCTGCAAGAACAGAAGTTCACTGGATGCTCTAGTCAACAGTAACAGCAGAGCTGCACAAAAGATTAATTTCTCTAATGACGGCGCCTCTCACAGCGTCTGGAGGGCGCGCGCCCAGGTGGGCGTCGATTTGGAAAATGCTGAGCACTATCCTGAAATTGATGTGATACAGATCACCAAGAGGTGGCCATCAACGCTGCAGGCTCTCTCATTCGGAGGTGACCGCTGAGCTGCTCCCTTCAGGAAGTGAAGACGGCGAGGTCCAGATGGCGACAAGGAGCAGCAACTCAGAACAACAGGCGGTGTCCAACAGATAGTTTCTTCTTCATAGTGGTAGTTATCAGCAGGGTATGCCCTACTCAGCCAGATACAAACTGTGCAAAAACTTTATTTTGCTACTCTTCTGTGAGAGCTCTGGATGATTGCACCTGCTACCAGCTTATCAGGTCTATATCTATGGTTGGTTGAACCTTTTTTGGATGCTATGGCAGTGTTCTCAGTGGTTGCACTATTTGTCTGTTATGCGTTTTGGGTGTCTGGATAGTATTCTCAGTGGTTGCACCTGTCAACAGTTGGTTATGTTTATCTGTAACTGGATGAACTCTTACAAGTACTATGACAGACTTCCCAGTGGTTACTTTCTGTTTAACCTAACCTTGGAATTTTGTGGGTTTTCAATTGTCGCATTGCTTTTTGTCGAAAATCTTCAGTACTATCAGAACGCCTGCTGTCCAAATCTTACAAGTACTATCTTTTTTTTTTAAGAATTACACAGTACAACGTAGATGCTCATAACACACACACTCATCCCTATGAACACATGTACACAAACTCTACCCTTAGGAGCACCTCCGAAGGAAATCTAGGAAAATACAAGCACCCGTGTCAAGTGGAGGACTTGAACCCGGGTGGGCAGGTTCACCACACGAAACCCAACCAGCTGCAAGTACTATCAGTACTATCCAAATGTAAGCTTCCTCCTTTACCTGCTGTCAATCACAGAAATGTCAAGCTTTCTTCTTCACTTGTTGCCTATCACACAAATGTCAAGCTTCCTTCACCTGTTGCCAATCAAAAGAAATGTCAAACTTCAGCCATAGTGAGGTAAAGTAGTAAGATAATAGGTCAAGCTCACATAGGACAGATAAGCTCATTTTCTACACAAATTATCTTTACAAAATATGAATTATGCATTGATGATTGCTTAAAAGAATGGTTACTCATAAGTAAGAAGCCATCAATACTTACCAAGAGACACAGATATAACAAACATAATCATTATCTAACAATACTGCATCAAATGTGTAAACAAGCATCAACCTGAGAATAAACTATTGAAAAATGTGTTGATGCTTGACACATTTTCCCTTCATAAGCAGTGGTCAAGCCAGCTTGTGTCTTATGACTCACGCATATTTTACGTTATTAGACTTCAATAGTTAGTTAAAAGAAGAAATGAGAATAAACTCACTGAAAAGGGCCTCAGCAAGGAAAACTTCTCCCTTTGCCAATGACTCAAGCAAAACACATTAACAAAAAAGGAATCTATGTTTCTTGCCAAACCTGAGAAAATTTTACCAGGGTTGCACGATAGCAAGAAGCCTTGAGAAAGCAAGACAAGGGTTGCACGATAGCAAGAAGCCTTGAGAAAGCAAGGATTCTCTGCCCCATTGCACAAATCTATGTTTCTCTGCAAAATGTGACTGGACGCGCCGGTGTAACGAAGGCCAGCGTTCGATCGCTTCTTGCTTCTCTCGGCCAGAGCAGCGCCGCCCGCTATAATCGACCGGACGCGCCGGGGTGAGTCCGGTCACCCTGCGGCCAGCGGCCGGTCGTGGACTATCTCTTATTTTCCTTTTTCTAAGTCCACAACCACTTCACCTTTGCTTCCAACTTGCTAACCATAAAGTATAGAACTTGTGTGCACGTGTGTTAGCATTTTTCAAAGCATTTTACAAGGATCAAAGTTAGCATACTAGGTTCCTAAATGCATATGCAAGAACAATGTCACCTAGTGGCACTCGATAACCGTTTAGCCAAAGATTTTCCCTCTTTATAGTACGGCTAACGATCATAAATATGATCACACTCTCTATAGTGTCTTGATCACCAAAAACAAAACCTATCTTATACCTTTGCCTTGATCGCCTTGGTTTTATTTTTCTCTTTCTTCTTTTCTAAGTTGAGCACTTGATCATCATCACATGTGGCCATCTCATCATTTCATGTAATCATCACCTTCTCTTGAGTGCCACCATGCTCCATACTTGGACTGCACCAACCTAGCTCATATCATAGCTCATGACAAAGATTAGTGCAAATGTTTCATCAATTATCCAAAAACCAAACTAGGGCTTTCACCGGTGCAACCCTAATAGCTATATTAACATTCAATTTTTGACCATTGGGTGACTAGATATGCCACCGGACATGTTCGGTGCGTGTTAGAGCTAAACACATCGATTACAACCTCTCTGGAGCTCGACTCCGGTGTGGCGTGCCACACCGAACATGTAGGTGCGTTGAAGCCCCGCGTGACCGAATTACATGCTCTCAGTGTGCCGTATCCGGTGTGCCATAGCCGGTGCACACCGGATACCATGGTGCTCCTACTAAAGCAGCACAAAGTGAAAAGCAGGCGGTCGTATCCGGTGCCACCCGACCGGTGTGCCATCGGACACGTCCGGTGCAAGCAAAATTGCTACACCGAGAGCACCCAAGCGTCCCCTTTCAAACGAGCTAACTCTCAAATGTTTTCACAAACATGTTAGAGCAAAGTTAGCATTTCCAAAGTGTTTTTCATAAAGGTTTTCGCTTGCTCTCCGAATGTGTCACTAGGCCTAAATGCAATGCACTAGATGACCGAGTTGTCTAATTAAGCTCCCCTCTTAATAGTACGACCATCTATCCTGAATTTGATCATGCACTCTATTGCGTCTTTGACCGGCAAAACAAAATCCCTATTTATACCTTTGCCTTGAGCCCATAGGGTTTTTGCTTTTCATCTCCTCTTTTTCAAGTTTGGAACACTTGATCATCACTTGTGGCCATCTCCATCACTTTGAGTGCCGTTCATGCTCCTCCTTGGATGTGGACCAACCTTTCTCATGAAAACACTTAGAGCAAAGGGTTAGTCCACTTGGATGTCTCAATTATCCAAAACTAAACATAGGGCTTTCAATATCCCCTTTTTGGTAATTGATGACAACCGTTACAAAGATAGGAATTAAATTTGAATTCCAAGCTAATAACATACACAAGTGCAAGTCATTAACTTGGATTGGATTTGAGTTGCTTGCCCAAGCATTTTGACCATATGAAAAGAATTGGACAAGTTCCACAAATCCGATTTGGTAGTATTAGCTCCCCCTACATATGTGCTAGTGTGTTTGGATTAAAGCTTGCACATATGTTGGATATGAAAGTTTGGGAGAGTTACTACTACCAAATGATGCTAAGGAGTATAGGATTAACCTTTGAAGTGTGATACCAATCATAGTTGCACATTTGAATCACCCCTTAGCACCATGGATAGCTAGATACAACAAATACTAGAAACCCGTGAGATCAACATTAAAGGCAAGGTTCTAGTATCACTTGAAAAATTACATCTAGCTACCACCTATGTATGCTAGTTATCATTTCATCAATCAAGTTCTATAACTAGCAAGCAACACACAAGCTTGAATATCAATTTGAAACTTGTGCAAATGCAAGCAAGCATATGAATATGCATATATCAAACTGCAACAATCAAGTTCATAAGCTTGCCCCCCCTACTTGTGTGCTTCAAATTTTGTTGATCTCCATCACTTTGGGTGCCATTCATGCTCCTCCTTGGATGTGGACCAACCTTTCTCATGACAACACTTAGAGCAAAGGGTTAGTCCACTTGGTTATCTCAATTATCCAAAACCAAACATAGGGCTTTCACCAGAGATACATCCTGGTTGCCTTAACAGTGCCTTTAAATTGTCGTGCGCTTGACCATTTCAGGATGCCAAAAAATGCCTGAAACTCGTGAGCTATAGCTCGTGAATAATGGCGAAAACAAGAAATTCGGCCCGGGAGAAAGGGACTTCAAAAAATCAACCTGAGATAATCGACGCGAGAAAAAACTACATGTGTGGCTGGAATCACATTCCAAAACGGCGTAAAGAACCCAAAGAATTCGTTGCTTGAGAGCAAAGACTGGCTAGAAAAATGTTGTCTCGGTCGAGGTACATCTAGTTGCCTTAACGGTGCCTTTAAAATGTCTGGCGCTTGACCATTTCAAGAGGATGAAAATCATCTGAAACCCAAGAGAAAAAAAATCAATGAGGCCGAGAGTGCGAGACTTCGAAAAATCAACCTGAGAAAAAAAAAACTACACGTGCTGAGTGCCTAGATAGCCATGTTTGACGTGCTTGAACAACCAAAAGCCTTGGAATCACAGCCTAAAAATGGCGTAAAAAACCGAAAGAACTTGTATGGGAGTAGAAACTTTGTGTCGACCAAGGTACATCCTAGCCGGCTTAACGGTGCGCTTGACCATTTCAGGATGCTAAAAGCACCGGAAACCGGTGAGCTATAGCTCACGAAAAATGGCAAAAATGAGAAAATTGGCCCGAGAGCGTGGGACTACGAAAAATTTAGTGCCTAGATAGCCATGTTTGGCATGCTGGAACACCGACCATAAAATTGGTGCAATTGGTCCGTATTGCAACCAAATATATGCGTCACGAGAGGGCTCGATGGTTCAGCATCTTATAAAAGTTTGTAATTTCATAGCACTTTGAGCATTTTGAGCTCTCTAAGCTCTGCAGATGTTACTACTAGAGCCTAACCGGTCAGGTTATCACTGTATATGTCAAGCAACCAGAGGGTGGGGGTGGGGGTGGATGCATTTAGTTGGGTCGATCAGAATAGTATTTATGCATGTTATATACTGTCCTGGTTGACTGTAAATGTGCATATTCTGTGTTATCCTATAATACCATAGTCAATACAAATTGTGATTTTTTTAGCTACCAAGATTCAATGCTTCCAGAGCGGCTGTGCAATGCATGAAACATTCTCACTCAGCCACACACTAGTATAACTTTGGGCCTTTGGATATACAAAATGGTTTGTATGTAGAGAGCATGCAGCATACTGAATATTCAGTTTTAATGCTTTATATGCATCTGTACATTGAATTCTTCTGAATATGTTTCAACCCGTACACTGAATAAAAAGGGCAGACCCAGTGCCGGAGGCTCCCACATGAGTGGGGTCTGGGGAAGGGAAAAACCGAGGCAAGCCTTCCCCCCGTAAAATCTGCAGAGAGGCTGCTTCGAACCCATGACCTGGTGACTCAGTGAGACAGCTCTCACCACTGCACCAGGCACTGAATATTGCCCCCAAAACACCACAAGTTTAGCTTTGAGAAATGAGAAGTTAAGGTTTGTCAGCACTTGAACCTGCTGGTGTGCACTGAATATTACCTGGTGGTGGTTGTAGGAGGCTGCTGGGACGGCGTGGTACAAAATCTCAGACATCGACTACACCTACTAGTTTACCTATGCAATTAGCTTACTGTTGGGGATGCTGACCACAGCTAGTAAACTTTGTAAGGAGGGGGCATACATGAAGTTAGATAATGCTCTGTATTCCAGATAATGCCTTGCAACACCTGAGATGATGAATCGATGATTCCTTGTCGTGCTGAGCATGTATGAGCAAGCTTTATTTTTACTCTGAAGCATGTGGTTGAACCGAACATGTTTTCGGCAGCAGGGATTAAAACCACAAAGGGATCAAACTCCCTTTATTTTTACTCTGAAGCATGTAGTTGAACCGAACATGTTTTTGGCAGTAGAGATTAAAAGCACAAAGGGATCAAACTCCCTACGGGGTGGAAATTTTCAACCCAGGTTTGATCCCCATGAACCAAACAAAGCTTTGGGATTTGATCCCACGAAGAGGCCCATCAGGAGAGATTCCATAAGCTAAAATCCCCGCTCAATCCTCCAGAGGACGGTTAACTGATAGGGATTAGCTGACGAAGACCTTAGGGAGGTTATCTGATACCGAATCGTTTCTTAAAAAAAATGATACCAAATCATGTTTGTTTTAGCTCCTCAGCAATCAGGTCACGGAGGTTAACTGATACCGAATCATGTTTGTTTTAGCTCCTCAGCAATCAGGTCAAAGATACTAGAAGAGGCAATCTCCCGATGTGTCTGCTTGCGTCAATTACTCATCACATGGTACGTGTTCACTAAAAAACACGTATCAGTGATGGAAGAAAACTTAGGGGTTGATCTGGACGCCAATCATTACTAATAACATCATTTTACAGAAGATCCATAATGTTAGAAGCCAACCAAGATCACAAGCTTAATCCACAATATTACAAGCCAACAAACATCACAAGCTTAAAATCCATAATGTTACAAGGCAACCAAAATCACAAGCTCAACTCCAGAGAATATGCAATAAGCTACATGAGTACGGAGAACTCCCTATTGGACAAACCAAATTGTCTAGCTGCAAGAGACTCAGCCACCTGTTGAGCATGGTCTCTAGTCTTACTTCTCATGTGTCTCGCTTAGTTTAGTTAAAGCTTCATGCGCTCCTCGAGCTTCGTAAACCAAAGTGGACAATTCAATTTTGTCTTGAATCTTGCGTTTATGGGCAGACACCAGTGTTTTGTAGGCCATCAAGCAAGCTCCCTCATTTACCTTACCTTTGTACTTATCTGCATCTTTCAGCAACTTCAATTTTACATCTTGTGTAAAGAAGATCTGCAGGAGACAAGACTCGCCCATTACATTCGTAACAAGTGTACACGAAAGCGCAGCAAGCAGATGTGAACACATCTTACATAGTAAGTACGGTTTACCTCATCAAAATCATTAATTTTATGGGTCAATATGATATTAAAAGCAGCTGCAAGTGGCAGAGCGCCCCAATTCTTATAGTCAATGCCCGACAGATCCTTAAACAAACGACCAATCCTCAAAAAGGCTGGATACTCTTTCTTCTCAACAGCATTACAATGAAACAAGGAAGATGCAGCCGACACAATCTGCTCATTTACCTGGATACAAAGAGTGTTGTTTTATCACTGGCTTTGGTCTACGAAAATGAAGGATTGCGTGCACACAAGGTGAAGCAGAAACATTTGCAACTGTAAAACTCACCATCTCTGGTTTGACATTATAGCCATATCCACTCAGGAACATTTTCAGTCCTTCACTCATAGGGACACGGTCCTCTTTAGGCAGTTCTGATTTTTCTCCAGGCACCAACCTGTGCATAAGATGCTGCATGCCCCACATTAGCTCCACCACAATACCATCATAGAGGCAAGGAATTTCCTATACGAAGTCAAACAAAAATTGTGGTCAAATTCGTTCACATATATAAGCAAACAAAGAGCTTATACTCACCAAACTTGATTCGATGATTGATTTATATTCCTCATTTCCAACAACCAATGTATGCCCAGGGCGGTAATATTTCATGATCATCTCGGTAAGCTGACTGTTAACACCAGTATCAACATTAATGGCAATGGACTTGTCATCAAACGTTTGAAATTCCTCCAGAAAAACAATCTGATAAAAGAAATGAACAAACATTAGCAGGTTCAGGGAAAAAAACTGCATTTCGTAAATGTTTTTGATAACTTTATTTGTTACGGTTTCTTTATTTCATCCAACATATGTCTAAATTTAACCCTGAAATTCCTGTGTCTCAGTCAAGGCAACCTAAACCTATTATCAATTAGGTGGGTACAAACTGAAAGGTGATAACCGAGGATAAAACATGTCAATCATAAATGATGCAAGATCGCCACTTGGTCAATTTTGGGGGAGGGTGACAAGCAACTGAGAAAAAAAGTGGGAACAATGAGAAGGGTGATGGCCACTCACATGTCTTGCCCTTTCATACATATCAAAGTTTGCCCACAAGCTCTGGAGACAAGGTTAAAAGATAAGACTTAAGTCAACGTAACAAGAGAGGAAGCAAGTACATCATTAATGAGGAAGGAAGATCAGAGTACTTCTCTTGCATCTGGTCTATAGAGGTAGAGAGCAAAAAACCCAAAAATTGCGAAGCCAGAAGGCGTCTCGAACAGCAGCAAGGCAATCCCAAAATTATCCACAAAGCCATCACCTACAAACACAGGAGTCATGCAAAATTAAGCGAGCTGGATCATGGTTTTTGAGGCGTTGTGGCGAGGCGCGGCGCCCTACCCCCTTCACAACGCCTAGGCGTTTATGGCGGACGTGTAGGCGACGCCATATGCACATTTTAGGTGCCATGAAGGAGTGTATAAGCTAGAATTTTAGATACTAGTGCAGCACATACATATCTTTTTTATTCACAATTCTTGAGGCCAGCGCATACTAGTACAGCTAAGGATTAGTATTAATCAGTAAGTTTTATACTAATCAAAGGAAAAAAAACTTCTACTTTGTGGTCTATAAAAGTGCAAAGATTAAAGAAAGAACCCAAACAGATGTTATACTAATCAAAGAAAGATCCTTGTGCTTTGTGTTATGTAACGGTCAAAGAAAATAACAACCCAAGCACAAGCAGGCATTAGTCTACTCCGTATGTGGCTATATGACAGGGCAATAATATAAAATATAAAAAGCAACACACTGTATTCAGAGCAGAGTACCCACACCAGTCCATCCATGAGCAGAGGCAGAGCAAACAAATATGAAAAGGGGCAGATGGGAGGAGATTTAGTGAGCCAAAACGAGAGGATGCAGGGGCGTACAGACTCGATGCGGGCAGACAGGTGTGGTGGGGATGGACCTGCGGACAGCGAAGCGACTTGAAGCGGGCGGACAGGTGCACTGCGGATGGCCGGCGGTAGCGGGAAGCAGATGCGGACGGCCAGCAGTGGTAGGGACTCGAGGAGGTGGACTTCAATAGAGGAGCACCCAAGCGGAGATGCAGGCCCGCCGCCTCTGCTACCGCCAAGAGCTCCAGTTCCTCCCGCCGCCTTCTCTTTCCCTCTCCGCCTCTCTGCGTGAAGTTGCGCGGGCTCCAAGCGGTCGATTTCCCGCTTAGAGAGCACATATGCGGTCAGTCCCGCCCTTTTCCTTTGTGGCGCGGTCGATTCCCGCCCAATTTTCTTACCCGTGGTCAATTTTGTGCCTACCGCTCGACTTTCCCTGTCCCCGCGCAGATCAGTCCGTCTGCCGCAGTCCTTTCTCCTTTTCACGCGACGGCCTAATCGATTCGACCCCGACGCCCAGCACCTTTTGTCTTACCGCGACGCCTCAAAAACAATGAGCTGGATTACCAATACCAAGAAAAAATGTGTGCCCAGGATGGCCCTCCCCACCACGGCTCCACCTGATCCGCTGCAGTCAAACCACCTCCCCTGATCCAACAGTAACGTGCACCCCCACCCCCACCCCCACCCGGAACCCTATCACACCGATGGAGGGAACGGAGCAAGGTAACCACCTTCTCAAACCCAATCGCCCACCCTCTCTCGACGGATGGGAGGGAACGAAGTATCCGGAGGAACGGAGCAAGGCAACCACCCTCTCAAACTAAATCCCCGCTCGACACGCCGATGGAAGCGGCTCGATCTGGCACGCTCTGCGCCGCTTCGACGATGGCCTCACCTAGCCTTAGCTTCCCCATGCTGTTTGACAATCCTGAACTCGACGGACGGTACCCCTGCCCCGCTCGACGGGATTGGCTCTCGACCGGCACGCTGCGCCGCTCGACAGGCCCAAGCGGCTGGAGGCTCCGGGCGGCCCAACAGGCCCAGCGGCTGGAGGCTAAGGCCCCGTTTGTCAGGCTCGAGCCAAAACAGTTTCAGATGTGGCTTCACCGGTGAAGCGGATTTAGCTGGAGCAGTTTTGTAAACAGTTTGAAAAACGACTTCTCCTGACGACGAATTATCCGAAATACCTTTATTTTATTTCTTTTTTTTCCTTATTTGTTTGTTCCTTATTCTTTACACTCTATCACATCGGATGTTTGATACATGCATTGAGTATTAAATATAGACTAAAAAATAACTAATTACATAGATTGTGTGTAATTTGCTAGACGAATCTTTTAAGCCTAATTAGTCCATGACTTGACAATAAAGTGCTACATCAACACATGCACTAATGACGGCTTAATTAGGCTTAATAAATTCATCTCGTGGTTTACTAACGGATTCTGTAATTTATTTTTTTATTAGTATCTGAACACCCCATGCAACACCCCATATAGCACCCAAAACTTTACACCCTCAAACTAAACGAGGCCTTGGTCCTTGGCCTTATCTTATCGCCCCCATCTCAAACGCACGCAACACCGCTGGAAGGCCAGCCCCGTTCGTGGTTCGTCCGCCTCCATCTACGTCGTCGTCTCCTCGGTGCCGGCCACCTCCTCCATCCTGCGACGACCTCCACTCTGATCTACCCTGCCGTGCGCTGCCCGACGACGCCCCTCCCTTCCCCCGTGCCGCCTCTGCCCCTCCCCACGCCGGCGTTGCTTGCAGACCTGAGGTTCCTCCTCGTGCCCCTGGGGCAAGCTAGTGCATGGCTGCGTGCTGGGCCACGTGAGTGAGAGGGAGCTGGATGAAGCCAGTATTTTTAGCCCCACTCGCGTGAAACAGCTCCAGTCAGCGCAATATCCGGGATTCCCCGCGTGGAGCCGTTGGTTGAAAGGGCGTTTGGTTGGTGGAGCTCTAAAACAGCTCTCAGAGTCCTCCACGAAGCTGTACCAAACGCCCCCTAAATAATCCTCGCTCGGCCTAATTCACACGTATAGTTCCATAAAGAACGCCTTCTTTATTATACTATATCAAGTAAATATGCACGTCACATAATAAAAAGGTCACATATACACTGATATTAATTATGAGTTAAATACACTGACGGTCCTTAAACTTGTAGCTTTGTGCCATTTAGGTCAAAAACTCTCAAAATCAAAATTTAACCCCCTGAACTTGTTAAGTCGTACACTGCAGGTCCATATCACTTCAAGTAGCTGCTGACTTGGATAAAATTTTATAAAAAACACCCTAGCATAGCCAGGGTGTTTTTTAAGTCGTGCACTGCAGGTCCATACCCCTTCCTGGCTATGCTAGGTTGTTTTTTTATAAAATTTTATCCTAGTCAGCAGCTACATGAAGAGGTATGGACCTGCTGTGCATGGCTTAACAAGTTTAGGGGGCTGAATTTCGATTTTGAGAGTTCGTGGACCTAAGTGGCATAGAGCCACAAGTTTAAGGGCCGCCAGTGTATTTAACTCATTAAATAATTTTAGTCGTTCTGCATAAGAAAATGTAACTATAAAACTGACCAAGATGGAGGGAAACTTTAACCACCCCTTTTAGAAATTAGGATGTTTTTAAGCTCTAGAATAATTCAGTTTGTTATCATGACAAGGCACAAGTACACATCAGTCGCTACTAATGTCCTAGTGGCATAATCTCTTCGAAGGGTGTGTTAGCCATGGCTAAACAATAGCCAACTATTTGTTAGTCCATACGTGTTTAGATTCTGAACTAATTGTTGGGTTCAATAGACTAGAACTACTTGTTAGCCTCTTATAGTTGGAGCTTTGGCTAAACTTTAGCCCATCCGTTAGTCCTCCTGTTTGGATCCTATCGATGGAGAACCCTACGGCCCCCCATAGACCGTACTATAGGGAAGTGGGCCTTGGTAACAAGGCTCACAGCCCAATCAACGAGAAGAACACGGAGCAAAGCAACGTGCAAGACCAAAACTCTAACTCGGACTATACAAGGAAAGGCGCCCGAAGTATAGCATAGAACTCTGACCTTGTATCCGAGTAGGACACAAACAACTCCTCTCAGCACCTGGACTATAAAGGGCTGGTGAGGATACCCCTTGTAAAGGACAGAAGGCATACCCAATACTCAAAGCAATACGACGCAAATAGGCTAACGCCAAACTGGACGTAAGGTTATTACTCGACCAAGTCGAGGGCCTGAACCAGTATAAATCATGAGTCTCTTTGCGTAACCGCTGAGTTCCACTATTCGCGGAAGCCCGAACAACTGTCCCGGGTACCCCTATGGCAGGCTATCGGTGATAAAACATCGACAGCTGGCGTGCCAGGTAGGGGCTTTCGATGAATTTCTCTCGAGAGCTCGGCGGACCTCGACCTCAAGATGATTTTTTCGGCGGGAACAACCTTCGTCTTTGGATCCTAGATCTGCGAGGCTGACAGCGACGGCAAGCTACATACCCGTCTCCGAGAAGAAAAAGAATTCGATGACGAAGTAGAATATGAACTCGCCAAGAAGATGACGAAACTCTCAACTTCGGATCTAACTCGGAATGAGGAAGAAAGCGGATACGAAACCGACTCTAAGAAAGAAATACAATCCGACTCCAAGGCAATCTTCACAGCACAAGAGCCAAGCCTAATTGGACTCGGAGACACAACAACGATCATGAAGAAATACAACCCGTACAACTCAAAAAAGAACTCAGGAACGTACGGACTACACAACGCGGCGTCAATCTATCAACGCTTTACCGGACAAGATGAACTCAGCAAGAAAAATACTCCTGGAGGGAGCACAAGAAGGGATGATCATGACAGTTATGCCACAAAACTATGTGGTGCATTGGCCAGGTTCTTTCACCTCGAGCAAAGCCCAGGCTAGCACGTATGTTGAAGAACTACCTTACCAAGAGGGAAAAGAACTCGGATCCAGCTCAAAAACTACCGACAGCTCGACCAAACGAAGGATGAAATATCGTACAAGAAGAGCTCGGAAGAGGTACACTGTATACATGGCGGAACAGCTAGAGCAATCTTTGGAACTGCCCTCAGATACCAGATATAAAATCTTCAGACGAATCAGAAAGCAACATCTCGCCAGATGAGAAAAGCGACAGCAACGAAAATGATGAGCAAAGACTAGCAAGACTAAAGAAGAATAAGTTGAAGGCTAGAAGGAGGAACAGGGCTCAACAAAGGAAGTAAATCTGGAATAAATACAAGGTGGAACTAAAGGAATACAACAGAAAGAAGGCGGAAAGAGAAGCCGAAAAAAGTACAAAAAGGAAAAGAATTAAAGAGTTAACAAAAGAGTTACACACCCTCACGAATAACGGAAGGACAAAGGAAGGTCAGGAGAAAGAAGTCAGGGGATCAGAAAAACAACCCGGCGAAGAACTTGAAAGTGCATCTAGTCCTTTAGTGGGTTTTGGTGAATTAAATGACAACACCATTAAAGGTCTAACAAGCTTGCTAAGTGTTGAACAGGAAATTGAGTATAATGCATACACATGAATATTGCATAACAAGATATATCAAAGGTTCAACAAGAAGGCAAACTTGATGATATGCCACATAGCGTTGAAATGAAGGTCAAGTTGTGTATTGTTGTATTGGAAGATCATGGAAACAATCTAGTTTAAGCAAAAGACAACAATGCAAATGGAATCAATGAAATAACTTCTATGTTGTGGGATATCACAGCATCATGTGAAAGCAAGCATATTTGATAAATGACAAATGAGACATGAGTTGATGATTGTGGATTGGTCTCAATAATGGCTTGCTTTTCATGAACAAGAAGAGTTTGATAGTGGACTAGTTTTGATCAAGTGTCAAAGAATGAATCAAGAATGCATAAGTGAGGAAATGACAAGCAAAGGTCAAATGACAGAGGACACAACTCATGTTGGATATAAAATGGTCTCTACTTTGATTTGCTTGTATGGATAAAGATTTGGAAAATCACTTTGCATTGATTTGATCAAGCTAGAAGTATGAAGATAGATATTGAAGTAAGTGTTAGGAGTGTCAAGCCAAGATGAATAGGAGATAAGGAATCGTGAATTGGCTTGACCATATTGATGTTGATTCATATGTCTCAATCTATATGAATCCAACTAAAGCTTGATTGATCTCAACATTCATATCTAGAAGATATTCAAGCAAGGATCACAATATTGAAGAAATGGTTTGTCAATGGATGCTTAATGTGATATGACTTGAGTATGGCTTGATAGGGTTAAGATAGCAAGGAAAGGGCTTCGAGGTACTAAGTGAAGGTGAAGGGCAAGCGACGGCTTGGCAACCGAGGTACCATGGCTAAGGTGAAGAAGAGAGTACTTGCATTGAGTCGAGGTACTAATCAAGCTATAAGGAGTCATATTGTGTTGAGGATCAAATCATTAGTGGAAGTGACTTGAAGCCATGAAGGTGAACTCATATGTATGGAAATGGTTCAAGTCACATAATCAAGGTATAATGAGAATGAGGAAAATATATTCGATAATAGAAGTTTTCAATTGCCAAATGAAGTGGCAACCAGCTCAAAGACATTTACATTCTTTTATGCTTTGAATTTGAGTTTAGGAAAAGCTATACTATAAAGAGGGAATCTAGTACAGTTGGTCAACTGTGCAACCAGATACTCAAAACTACAGATCTACATCCTTACACCCAGCCAAAGCAGCCAGCCAAAAATCTCCAGATTCTACCTGTTTTGGCTAGGGCGGCAGTGCCGCCCTTTAACGCTTTAGTATTTTCTAGATTATAAATACTAGTCTGAACGGTCACAAACCGACCACTGCCATATCCCTTCGTCAACCTCGGGTTCTAACCGTTACAGACAGACCAAAGCTCACCTCTCTCTCCTCCATTGTTGCTCC